CGTCGGTACAACATTCCTTCTCGGAGTGTGAACCGAGCTGCTCTTCGCGCCATCTTCTTTTGCTCCTTCGGATCTTGCGGTGGGTTTCCTTTGATGAACTCCACGATTGGGTCCATCCAAGTAAGTGACGGGGTATCGACCTCCATTACATCTGGCTCCAAGACTGAAGGAGTGTCCATGATTTCGACCGGGACCGATCTAGCCAGGTCGGTCTCGTATGCTGATGCCAACTTGGCTAAGGTGTCTACATTAGAGTTCTCAGATCTCTGAACTTGACTCACCTCGTAAGTCTCGAAATGGGCGAGGTGCGATCTGACCTTGCTCAGATATTTTTCCATTCGGGCGTCCTTCGCTTGGTACTCCTCCTTGATATGATTTACAGCTAGCTGAGAGTCACTAAAAACCTTAATGTGATTGGCCCCCAGCCCTTTGGCAACGCGCAGGCCTGCTAGGAGTGGTTCATACTCGGCCTCATTATTTGACGTCTGAAAGTTGAATCGTAGGGCATACTCGAATCGCTCACCTCCTGGTGCGAGCAAGAGAATTCCTGCCCCGCACCCCTTCTCGTTGGAAGATCCATCAACGTAGATCGTCCATGGGAGGTCGGATTTGGCCGAAAGAGGTGGTGGAGTGAGCTCTGCGATAAAATCGGCCACTGCTTGCCCTTTCAATGCAGTTCTGGGCTCGAATTGGATGTCGTACTCGCTCAATTCCAATGCCCACTTCATCAGATGTCCTGAAGTTTCAGGCCTAAGGAAGATGTTCTTAAGGGGAAAATTTGTAAGTACACTAACAGTGTGCACCTGAAAGTACGGCCTGAGTCTTCGGGCCAAGGTGACTAAAGCGAGGGTCAGCTTCTCCATTTGGGGATATCTGATCTCAGCCTCGGTCATGGCCTTACTGGTGTAATAAACGAGGCTTTGACTCGCACCCTTCTGCTTGATCAGTGCCGAGCTGACGGCGCTAGCAGATACCGCCAGGTACAAATGGAGCTTTTCCCCTGGCAATGGCTTTGCGAGTAGAGGTGCCGAGCAGAGATAGTCTTTTAATTGCCCTAGCGCTTGCTCACACTCTTCCGTCCATTCAAACGGTCCCTTCTTCCTAAGAACTTTGAAGAACGGAAGACATTTATCCGTCGATCTTGACACGAACCTATTCAAGGCTGCGATCCTGCCATTGAGGCACTGAAGCTGCTTCAGAGTCTTGGGTGCCTTCATCTCGAGCACGGCCTTTATCTTCTCTGGGTTAGCCTCAATCCCACGGTTATTTACCATAAAACCAAGGAATTTTCCCGAGGAGACTCCAAAGGCGTACTTGGTCGGATTGAGCTTCATTTGGTACTTGCGTAGCATTCCAAAGGCTTCGGTCAGATCGGAAAGATGCGACTTTGACTGCTTGCTCTTGACAAGCATGTCGTCCACATACACTTCCATATTCCGACCGATCTGCTTGGCAAACATTTTGTTCACCATCCTTTGGTAGGTCGCACCTACATTCTTTAGGCCAAAAGGCATCACCTTGTAGCAGTACAGACCTTGGTCTGTTATGAACGCGGTGTGATCTTGGTCTGGCAAATGCATTTTTATTTGGTTGTATCCGGAGTAGGCATCTATGAAGGTGAGTAGCTCGTGCCCGGCTGTTGCGTCCACGAGCTGGTCGATCCTCGGAAGGGGGAAGCAGTCTTTTGGGCATGCCTTATTTAAATTTGTAAAGTCCACGCACATCCTCCACTTCCCGTTGGATTTTTTAACTAATACAATGTTGGAGAGCCACTCAGGATACATAATTTCTCGTATATATTCAGCTTTTAAGAGTTTGTTTACTTCCTCAACAATTACATCACTCCTCTCTTTATTTAC